GGGGGCCAGCTCTCTGCAGGTCCTTTCTTGGGAGCAGAGGAGGGGCTGGCTATCGGGCGCTCCCATCCTACCAGGCCTCTGCTGCCCACACCCTCGCTCCCCCTCTGCCTCCCCCTCTTAACAATTCTGCATCCTCCCCGAAAGGTCAGGAGGCCACCACCTGGACCTCAGGAGCACCACACAGACAGACAGACAGATGGACAGACGACAGGCACTGGAGGCACTGACACAGAGCAGTGGTGGCTCTGTCCAGGCCTGTCCCCACATCCCTGGCCTGTGCCGCCCTCTGCTGGCGGTCTGGCCGCACTGCCTCACCTGTAGGCCTGCAGGAGGAAGATCTTGTAAACGTTGATATACACAGTCTGCAGGCTGTTCACCTGGCGGGGGGGAGAGGAGGGGAGAGGGTGTGGTTAGACAGGCCCGGGAGCCTCTGCTTTACCCATCACCAGCAGGGCAAGGGAGAGCAACATTGTTGTAGGCCCCAGGGCATCGGCCCTCAAACAAGCTCCCCCCACCCCCACCAGGTCCTCTGGCTCAGCGTTCCAGTTGCTACTGTCATCTGACCCAGAGACCCCAGCCCAACCCCAAGGCCCCTGAGTCACAGCTCATAGCTATATAGTTATAGCTCATAGCTTCCCTATAACAGGATTTACGAGGCTGTGTATCTTTACAGGTAAAGGCATTGAGTCAGTTTGGACTCATAGCTTCCAAAGCTGTGAATCTTCACAGGTAGGGAGCCTAGTGGTCACGCATTGGGCAGCTGAGTGCAACATCAGCAGTTCAAAACCACCAGCTGCTCTGCAGGCGAAAGAAGAGGCTTTCTACTCCTGTGAGTCTCGGAAACTCAACCCTGTGCTATCAGGTTACTGTGAGTTGGCCTCGACTCGATGGCAGCCAGCTTGTTTGTGGAGTAACGGACGGCCTCATCTTTCTCCTTCAGAGCGGCTGGTGGGCTCGAACCCCCGACCTTGAGGTTAGCAGCCCAACACCTAAACCACCCCACCACCAGGACTCCTGAGCCCACATGGACAGATGTCACGAGTGCACAGCGCTCCCGCGGACATTCTCTACCCATTCGGCCACACTCCCATTTGGTTTTCAGAAGACCGCAGGGGGTAGTTTTTGGCTTAGGGCTTACAGATTTCAGGGCAGGCGTTTCTGAAAAGCAGCCTGGAGTTCTTAAAATGTTCCCACGGATACTTACCCCCCTAATTCCACTGCTAGAAACCTATGCTAGAAACGGCCAGAGCCATTCTCCCAGAATGCACTCAGGTAGTTCAGGCGATCAGAGCGGCCATGTCTCATAAGGACAAAGATTGAACCGCCCAATACACAGTCCCGCGGGCTCTGCTGCCACCGGGGTGAAGCTCTTCTCTGCCCTTCCGGGTGTCTCTTCACCATGTCCCATGATGTGCCTTCTGCAGCCCCCGTGTGTGTAAGCAGGAAGGGACATCCCACCCCCAGTGGCTAAGTGACATGAATCACACACGTGTATGCCTTTGGGGCTGCTCGCCCGCCTGCAGCCAGACCCCAACCCCACAGAGAGGGGACTCAGTGCATGCTCTCAGATAGCCATGGTACCCCCATGTGCACACACGACATGTACACATGTATATTCTCAGGCACACACATGGCCTTGCACGTGCACGCCCAGGCATACAGGTATGTGTGCATGCTCACACACACACTCGTGGTTTCCTCCCATATGCCCATACCACACAAAGCACCAAATGTGTGCACACTCACTACACCAGGCTCGTGGGCTGAGGGGCCCAACGTCTCCCCATCCGAGGTGGAGGCCAGCAGGAAGTGGCCCCCTCGTCCATGTGCTTACCTGCAGATCCAGGAACAGGCTGTGGCACTTGAGCCGCAGGACCGCAAAGAGCTTACGACGCATGTTCCGTCCCGCCTTGAAGCCATGGTTGAAGACGAGACTGGTTTTGATGGAGGTCTGGGCATAGCTGCAGAAGAGGGGGGAGGGGAGGGAGCCCGTCAAATTGTGCCCCACGGTGCTAAGCAAGCGTCCACCTCGCAGTGCCATGTCCACCAGCAGATGGAAAGGGACCGGCTGGCTGTCGTCCCATGGCTGTGACAGCAAGTTACCGGGAGGCCCGCCCGCGCTCCCACTGTCCCAGGCCAGCGAATGTGGGGAATGGGGCCCTGGTTGCCCATTGGTTACACATGGGGCTGCTCTCGGGAGAGAGACGAGGCTTTCTACTCCTGTAAAGAGTTTCAGACCTGGAAACCCAGGGGGCAGTTCAACCCTGACTTAGAAGGTCACAAGTTTTTGTTTGGTTTTGGTGTGTGGGTGAATCTTTCCCAGTTTGCTATAGGACTGCGGGCGGGGAGGGTGGTGGGGTTGGGCTGCTATTCAAGGTCATACCCTTGCGATGGGTGACTCCTCAGATACCATGTTTCCCCAAAAGTAAGACATCCCCTGAAAATAAGACCTACTTACAGTTTTGCCTCTCGCTGAAATATAAGGCATCCCCCCGAAAATAAGACCTCCCCGAAAATAAGCCTCCCCCCCCCCAAAGCTACCGTAACTCTGGACCCTGGACCATAGCAGAGGGCGCTGCTGGGGCAGACAGGAAGTGCAAGTAAATGTACCATAGATTGTTGTACATGGAAATAATGGTAGTAACAAGAAATTCTTGATACTGTAGGATTCACAGTTTGTCTGGTTATGCTGGTTTGTGATGACAACTACTACCGTACCATATACAGGTAATAAATTTCCTTTTTTGTTGTTCAACAATAAATGTGTAGTGTACCGTATTCTTTTTCATGGAAAAATGATACCCCCTGAAAATAAGACCTAGTGCATCTTTGGGAGCAAAAATTAACATAAGACACTGTCTTATTTTGGGGGAAACAGGGTAGGTGCAGGAGATCCACACGTGAAGATGCCCCCAGGGTGCCCTGAGAGGCAGGCTGGCATCTGTGTCTGCCCAACGGCTTCCTTTCCCAAAATCCAGCCTCCCGACTGACTTCCTCAGGGAAAGACATTCCGCCTGCCCCACCCGAGTTTGCACTTGGCAGGAGGTGGGATGTCTCCCGAGGGATTGGGGACCACCTGCCTCTCAGGAAGCAAGAAGGGCCATCTCACCTGGAGTAGTCACAGAACACCTCCAGCGTCCGCGTGTCCAGCAGCAGGCCGCACCAGGGGAACAGGCAGTGGGCTGGCAGCTGGACGATGCCCGCGGCACCCGGGCCATTGCCCATCGGGAAGTTCACCACCGTCTTCCACGGGTTGATCATGCAGCCGTACTCAGGGACGCCTTCCACCAGGGTCCTAAGTCAGAGAGCGGTGTTGGCCAGCAGCATCAGACAGCCGGCCACCACAGGGGACACTGAACATGCGCGGCAGGAACTGTACCCCACCCTCCACCCCCTCCCAACATATATGCTGACATCCTAACCCCAGGACTCAGATAGGACCGGGCAGGAAATGTGGGTTTTCTTCTGTGTTAATGAGGTCATTCTGGACAATAACCAACGCGAAAACCCAACCCACTGCCATCCTCTGGTTGCGACTCCGAAGGAGCCCGCCTGGAGGGCGGAGAACTGCCAGGAGGGGTTCTGAGACTGCGTGTCTTCGTGGAAGCAGACTGCCTTCGCTTTCTCCCACGGAGTTTTGAACCGCTGACTTCTGGCTGGCAGCCGAGAGCTTAACTGCTGTGCCACCAAGACTCCTGTCTAATCACACCTGATGTCTGCTCAAACGAGCCGGGCAGACAGACACCAAGCAGCATGAGGAGTGGGCCATGACCGGAGGGGCGATGGAAACCAGGAGTACGGCCCGGGAAAAGGCCCATGGCCCCGACACTGGCTCAGACTCTCCACCTCCAGGTGGACAAGGCATGCCCCCTCTGTTTGCTGTCACCACCCCTAAGGATGATGAATGGGCTCCTCTCCGTCCTCTATGGTGCCTGAGAGGCTGCAGTCAACACTGCCAGGAGCCACTGACCAGGGACGTTGAGATGCACTTCAGAGAACTGGCCATGAAGATTTTTTAGTGGATTCTGACATATGAAGACCCATAGGTGTCGGGAGAACTGTGCTCCGTAGAATGTTTGGTGGCCCCATCTTTGGAATTGGATCACCAGGCCTTTCTTCTGAGGCACCCTCAAACCTATAACCCTGCCACTAGCAGCCACGTGCATGAACCATTTACTGCCTCCCAACAGGAACTCCAGTTGCTCACTAACTACACAGACAGCATCACGTATGAAGATTACGTGGAAGCACTTATAGCACATAGAGAATACACGTGGGAGCCTTGGTGGCTTAGTGCTTACGCACTGGGCTGCTAACTGCAAGGTCAGCAATTTGAAACCACCAGCCACTCCGCAGGAGAAAGATGAGGCCCTCTACTCCTGTAAAGGGTTATACAGTTTTGGGAACCCATGGGGTCAGTTCTACCCTGTCCTGTAGGGTGGCTGTGAGTCAGCACAGACTCGATGGCAGTGGGTTTAGTTTGAGACAGCACATACTGTTGGACAGATGGACAGGCTTACCTCAGAAAGGCTTGAGCTTGGGGTAGGTGGGGCGTCACCAGCAAAAAATCATCCACCAGGCGCAAAAGCAACCTAACAGGCAGGGAGAAGAACGCTGACCAGGTTGGCGTCTCCTCCTGCTGCGGTCTCTGCACAAAGGGCGCCAAGCTCACTCGGACGATGACAGTCAGCCTCCCCAGAACAGTCCACACACAATTCCACAGGCCCCCATCCAGGGATGGGGAGCCGGGCACAGGGCACTGACACAGGTCTCTGAGGTGACCAGCAGAGGCATTTCCAAGCCAGGTACAGTGCTGGGTCTGGGGGCCTCTGGGGAGCTCCCGGCCAGCATGTTGATAATTCCGGTGGGGGGAGGGCTAGGGACCCAGTCAAACAACACAGGAACTATGTGACTATAACACTGAATCTCCATGTGGCAGTGGTAGAAATGGCCAATGTGTTGTGCTATTATCATAATTTGTTTTTTAAGTGCACAGGAAATAAAAGGCTGGAGACCTTGGTCGGGGGAACACTGCCCACAACACCTGTCTCTTTTATCTGCCCGTTTCTTTAGTAGACCACAGGAGCTGCAGCGGGCTGCTAACCACAGGGTCAGCAGTTCAAACGCAGCAGCTGCTCCCAGGGAGACAGCAGAGGCTGTCTCGTCCTGTAAAGACTGACAGCCCCAGAAAGCCACGGGGCAGCTCTAATCTGTCTGGTAGGTTCGCTGAACCAGAATGGACGCCCCCTACTGTTTCCACAATGAGAAAACCATCGGGTCCCCTACAGAGTCTGCTAATGGTCAATACTGTCAGAGTGACCCCACATGTAGGGTGTCATTTCAAAATGGAGACCCCACATCCGGCGCCAGCCCACTGCTGACGGGACAATGGGGTGTCACTCAGGTAGCCCTGGCCTCAACCTCATTCTCTCTGGGGACTCTCTCCTTCATCCAGCTATTGGCTTCCTTGGCACCGCTTGTCTCCCCACTGAGGAACACCCAGAGATCCCCAGCCACCCCGAGAGGCACCCCACTGCGGGTTTCCTCTGGCATTCAACACCCAGGCTTGCACCCCCACCCCTGCCTGTGCCCATAAACTGTCAGGAACTGTGTTTGTGAGGCCGGCCACGCCAAGCAGAGGGCCCCGCGTGGTCTGGTTGTCTGATCAGACCCCACTTGGTTCTGATCTTGGCTGCATCACGCTGGCCCAACTCACCGCTGCCCCGAGCGCCACTGAGCAGGACCCCAATGCCGGATCCCTCAGGACCCCCTCAAGGGGTTGTGGTGTACACTGGGGCTAGGGTGGCCCACAGGGCTCTCGGGGGCTGGTCTGGGGAAGTAGACTGCAGGCCTTTTTTCCTAGTCTGCCTTAGTCCGGAAGCTCTGCTGAGTCCTGCTCAGTAGCTGAGTTTCCACTGACGGACATGATGTGGCTGTGTGTGGACCACCTTGACCAGGAACCGAACCGGGGTCTCCCACACAGGAGGCGAGAGTTCTAGCACGGAGACACCTAGTGCCCTGAGAGCAGGCGGGTCTCCACCACCGTTCTCCCTACCCATCTTGCTGAATCCCGGGGAGCACCGTGTTCTCCATGTCCCCGTAGCAGAGGCTGCACAGCAGAGTGGACAGGATGGAACCCTGTGGGATGCCCTGGCACTGGACATAGTACCTGCAGAGAGAGGCAGACAGGTGCAGGTCAGAGGGCAGTAGGCCAGGGAGAGGACACACAGGAAACAGCCTCCATCACCATCGGTAAACAAACCCCCACAGCATACGCCACACATGCCCTACTGCCCGAGTTCTCCTGAGGTAGGGAGGCTAGGGTGGCGGGCTATATCCTCACCCTCGAATTCAGGCTGCTGTTGAAACCAACACCCGCCCACTGCCATCAAGTGGAGGCCAACACCTGGTGGCCCTGCAGTGTAGAGCCTGACCCTGAGACCCTGTAGGACAGGATAGAACCGCGGGGGGGAGGTGGGAGGAGCTCCAAGGCAGGGACCTTTACAGGGGCCAGACTGCCACACAGCCTTCCCCCGCAGGGGGACTGGCAGGTTCGAACCAATAACCCTCCCATTAGCGACCAAGCCGGTAACCTCTGTGCTGCGGGGGCTCCTTGCTGCTGAGAGTTGCTGTCCTGTCACCACAGCAACTTTCATTAACTTTCAAAACGTGAAGCAAGACATCTAAATAACCCATCAGACAGCTGGACAGGAGGCTCAGCACTGGGACTCACTCGGGTCCAGGGTGAGCTGTCTCACAGAACGGTCTCACCAGGCACAGACGTGCCCTTGCTCTTACTGCGATCCAGGACACGCAGGCTGAAACTCCCCAATGGAGTATGTCCATGAGGCTTTCAGGGTGGGGTGCATCCTTCTGAAAACCCAACCTACTGCCAACGGGTCCATTCCACCTCAGTGACGTGCTGGAGCAGAGTGGCCCCTTATGGTATTTCTGAGCCTGTACATCTTCATGGGAGCAGACAGCCCCGTCTTTCTCCCCGGCAGGTGCTAACGGGTTTGAACTGCTGACCCTCTGGTTAGCAGCCCAGCATGTTAAACCACTAGTCCCTCGGAGATCTGAGACAGTGAGATGCACTTCTAGTCGATTGCTAGTCTCTTTCACTTTTGGTAAAGTGTCGATTCGTCTTGTCCAGGGCCTCCCTTTTTCACTGGCCCCTCTTCTTTACTAAGCGTGACGTCCTTCTCCAGGGACTGGTCTCTCCTGACAACACGTCCAAAATACGTGAGACCAGTCTCGCCCTCCTCGCTACCAAGGCGCATGCTGGCTATACTTCCTGCAAGACACATCCGTCTGTTGTTCTGGAAGCCCATGGTCCTTTCATGTTCTTTGTCTGCACCATAATCCAAGGGCGTCAACTCTTCAGTCTTCCTTATTTAGCATCCAGTATCTGCACGTCTACGAGGAGAATGAAAACATGGCTGGCGTCGGGTGCACCTTAGTCCTCAAAGAACCATCCTTGCTCTTCGACGCTTTAGAGAAGGCTTGTGCGAGATCTGCCGCCCAGTGCAACACGTCTTTTGGTCTCTCGACTGCTGCTTCCATGAGCATTGACTGTGGGGCCCAGCAAATGAAATCCTTGAACTTCAGCCTTCTCTCCATTTACCATGATGTTACCCATGGGTCCCTGCCATCCAGGGCTCCACCTGTCCTGTCTGGCCAGCACACTGTGGGGAAAGCACCCGCTCACCAGCTGGGAACCCACACCGGGAAGACAGGTGATCCTGCGACTACAGATGGAGGGAGAGGGACAGGCCTGGGTGACAGGGTCTCTCGAGGGATGAAAAGTGGACACATCCACCTGTGATCGCAGTGCTATTGGGACAGGAGTCCCTGGGTACACCAGTGGTTAAGGGCTGGACTTCAAGCCATAAGGTTGACAGCTAAACCTACCCAGTGGTGCCCAGTGATCTGAGCCTGCAGCCTTGGACCCCCCAGAGCCCCTCGCTCTGCACACACAGGTCACCGTGCGTCAGCAGGGACTTGACAGGAACTCCGAACAAGAGCAAGGGGGCCCTTGCAAACACTGTGCTGACCCCCTTGGGAGCTGGACAGTGCCTTTGAAAACGACCCCAGGGCCGAGTGTCCCTACCCCTACCCCTACTACTCCAAGACAGCTCCTCTCCTCCTGCAATGAATCTGGACTTTCTGTTCGTGTGTGTGTGTGTGTGTGTGTGTGTGTCTACAAGTCAGAATCGGCCTGTCAGCTCTACCACCACCAACAAGAAGGGCCCTTGGGTGGTACCGGCAGCTCATGCACTCAGCTGCCAACTGGAACTTCAGAGGTTCGAGTCCAGGCAGGCGGGAGTCACACATACTCACTTGTTCCTGATCTGGATGACGTTGTTGTGCACCAAGTGACGGAAAAAAGAGAAAAGGCTGCTGGCAGTCTCATTGAAGGAGCAGCTCTGGAACACAGAACAAGAGGCCAGTGAGCAGGGCTGAGAGGCCTGGGTGCAGGCTCCGCACCACCCACCAACCATGCAGCTGTCACAAGACACGGGACACCCTCGGGGGTCAGTGTTCTCACTGTGAAAGGGGGCACTGGGCGAGAACCCAGGGACGCAGTCTAGCAGCCGGGGACTGAATGTGGCTGCAGAGTGTGTGTGCCCAAAGTTACGGGTCCCTTGGGTCATCCATGCACCCCAGCTGGGCCCAGGATCCCTGAACTCCAGGGAGCCCAGGCCACAATCCATGGTCCCACCTAACCTCAGAAGCACCAGGGTCTAGCACCCTGACCACACCTTCCTCGGGACCCCCAAATCCAACACCTGGGTGCACCACCCTGCCAAGGGTTACGCCCTGGACTACAAGCTCAAGCCAGGCTCAGAGTGACCCCGTGGGACACCGTACCAACTGTGGTTTTCAAGGCTGCCATCTTTACAGCAGCAGACAGCCACAGCGTTCCCCAAGGTAGATCCGAACCGCTGGCCTTTTAGTTAGCAGCCCAACACCTAGCCTGCTGCACAACCTGGAGAGCCGACAGGAAGTCAGCCATGAGGCCCCCCAGCACCACCGAGTGAATAGGATTGCCACTGGGAACCAGCATGACCAACAGCAAGGCGGCACAAGGCCACCAGGTGCGAGTGGGCCTGTCCGCCCACTGACGGCCTCCAGGTGCGCGTGGGGACAGTCGTGGATATCTGGAGCTTCCACTCCAGGTGACCTGTGGTCAAACACAGCCTGTCCACCCTCAAGGCCGAGACAGCCAGTTGCTCACATAGCGCCTGCAGGCTCAGCCTTACGAGGGGAGAAAACGTGGCGGAGAGACAAAAGCACATCCCCACCTCCTGAAGTGCCCAGCTCCGTGGCTCTGGGGAGCTCAGCTCTGATCCCACGTGGGTGCCCACTCTCCTCCCTCTGCTCCTGCGGAGCCTGTGCCGGGCACCTCCCACTCCCTACCCACAGCTTAGACCCGCCCGCCTCCCCCAGCGGAGGTGGCCCCCTGTGGACCTGCTCAATGACGACGGAGTCCTTCAGCGAGCCCTCCTGCTGCAGATGCTCCAGGAACTGGGCCATGTACGGCAGGAGGTCGGCCAAAGTGGAGACCTGCGGGCAGACGAGCAGCGGGAGACGTGGACTCAGCACACCTGCAGCACCTGTAAGTCCGCTGCCGCCACGGCCTCACCCGCAGCAGGGGTACCCTGCGTCCGCTCCTCCCGAAAGCACCGGTCCCCAGGACCCCAAGAGAAACCAGGGAAGTGTCCCCCCCGAACAACAGCATGCTGGGGGTGTCGCTGCGTGAGCACGGACTCACGCCGCCCCGGTGTTCAGCATCACACGTGGCTGCCTGCTCCCGTGCTGCCCCTCACCACTGTTACTGTGCTTGCAGCCACGGGCGCGGCCCCTCTGGGAAACCGGAGAACTGCACAGGCTCGGAGGGCAAGGGGACCCTCACACCTGCCCCTGAACAGACGCACTTGAAAGCAGGGCGCGGAGCGAAACAACAGGCAGGAGAGGGCAGATACAAGACAATCCACTTTGGGGAAAGACCCGGGGTGGACGAACGCACAGGGACCGGAGATGGCCGGTGGCCACCGGAGGTGGGAAGCAGGCAAAAGGAGGGAGCCATTGCTTGGGGGCCACAGAGCTTCTCTAAAGGGGCTGGGAGACAAGGGGAGAAGATAGTCGAGATGGCTGTGCATCGGGGACATACTCCCCATCACCGAATAGCGCATGTGAGAGTGGCAGGTGTCCGGAATGCTGTGCGGGTGTGACCAGTGACGCTGTGACCTGATTGCTTCCAGCGTCCTTTGATGAGGGAGAAAGGCGGGGCTGTCGACTCCTGTACAGAGTGACAGCCTCGGGAACTCACAGGAGCAGTCCGCATCAGCGGATTTGGACTGGTTTTGGTTTCTCTGGATGAAGAACAGAAGCAGGTGAATGAATGATGGCGTTGGCGAAGAGCAGCACTGGGGGTGCCAGCAAAGGTTGGACGCCGTGGTAGTTACATCATCTGCTGTCAATTTGGGACTTGCGAGGATTAAGAGTGAAGGGGTGGAGTCTAGTCTGTCAATCGGGTCACAGCCAATGAGGCCTCTATGTGGGCATGATCTTCTCGTGAGGATTCTGGGAACTCCTGTATTCCTCCTTGGAGGCGGAAGACACTCTACTGACAGGACACATGGCACTACGCTAGTGCCCTGAGCTGGAGCAGCCATGTAGAGACCCCTGCCAGCACTGCGATGCTTACAGCGCCACTGGATCCACAAGACTTCCCACCCACTGGCCTGTGATCTTCCTGCATTCGGCATCATTGCATGTGTTTCTTGAGTCTGAAGAGGACTTTATAGATTGGTATCGGACATATGGACTAATATCGGACTTACGGACTTGATCTGTGCTAGGCTGTTTTCTCAATATTCAATTGCTCTTGTCTATAAAGCTCGTTCTTATACACATAAGCCTGTTTATGGATCTGTTTCTCTAGTCTACCCAGACTAACACAGACGCGCAGCCATGTCTCTCCTTAAAATCTAGGCTGCTGAGACTTTATCTCACACCCTTTGAGCACACTGTTAGGAGAGCATTCCCGGGAGACGGACCTCGTGCTTGGTAGAGCAGAGGGGCAGCAAGAGAGAGGCAGAGCAACTGTGAGGGTGCTGCAGGGCCGGGCGGTGCTGCGTTCCCTCGTGCACAGGGTTTCCGTGAGTCGGAGCCAATGGACAACATTGGTCAATGCCTACTCACAGTGATCCGCAGGAAGGGGCAGAGCTGTCTCTGTGAGTTTCTGAGTCTAACTCTTGAAGAGAGTAGAAAGCTGCCTTTTCCTCCCACGGAGCTGTTGGCGGTTTTGAACTTGGGACCTTTCAGGTGGCAGCCCACAGCATAACCACTGCACTGCCAGGGCTCCTTAAGGATGGCACAGTTGTGCTACAGATCCCTTCTGGGATCCGGGCTAGTGATGTTAGTGGAGCAGCATTAGCGCAGAGGATGTTCTGGTGGAGCTCACTGAAGGAGCAACAGAGCAAGGTGTGGTAGTTCCATAATCTGTTGTCAAGGTGAGACTTAAGAGTGAAGGGGTGGAGCTTAGTCTGTCAATCAGGTTCCAGCTTGATGGCCTCTTTGGGAGGCACTAAGAAGACAAATAGCTCGATGGAGGCAGGACTGGACCTCGAGGCCCCCTGGGTTCACGTGTGAGATGGAGACCGGAGAGAGAGAAAAATCCACTCAGGCTGGGGGGACTCTTAAGTGGGCTGATGGAGAGAGCACAAAAGCATCCTGGGGGCACTGGTGATGCCGTGGGAGCCCCAGGTGACTACAGGTGTAAAGCACGGCACACCCCAGGACTTCTGGGAGCCCTGCTTCCGTAAACTTGCATGTCCCCTGGCCCACGCCCTAGAGATCCCTTTCCCTCAGCACCGGCCACCTCCTCTCCCACTCCAGTGCTGAGGAGGACCCCCCAGAGCTGACCAATCATACTTCTACAGCTCCCGACACTCCATCCAAACACCACCACCCAGATGAGCTTGGAGGGAGACCACCCGACCGCAGGCCCTGCTCCCTCGGCCCCACCCAGCGCTCAAGCTCAGTGTGCCCACAAGCCGGCAGGGGCTCTGATGGTGGTGGCCATGGGGCCTGCACACGGTCCTAGCGCCTCACCGTGAGGAATACGGTTTCTTGTAGGATGGCCCTGTCACTCTCCAGGTGCACTGTCACGAGGGGGTGGGGAACCCCTCGGTGCATCCTACCTGACCTTTCTCTCACCAGTGCGATTTTCAACTTTCTAAAGACTTCTGAACAAGACGCTCTGGAGCCGTAGCCGGCAGGGGCACATGGCCCACCCAGCCAGAACCGAACCCTCCCAAGCCATCAGATGGGAGGACGCACAGACAGACTCTGGCCCTACACCCGCTCCCACATGGAGGGAGGAATGTGTCCCAACATGCCCACACCCCAGATACTGCCCTGTGGACACTCCCACCCCCTGCAGATGCCCATGGCATATACACCATGGGCACCCCATAGCACAGACACCCAAAGGTGGACACACCGCAGCAAACATCCCCACACTGTGGGCATGTCTGTGCCAGACACACCCCTACGGAAACTCCTGCACCACAGACAGATGCATGCCTGAACCACATATCCCAACATATCTCACACACACACATACACCAGACACCCCACACCACGGACACATCCTGTTACACACACACACACACCCATAAGACCCCACGCACCACAGACACATCCTTTGTTTTACACACACACCCTGTTTCACAATGCACTCACGCATGCACACGACATGCCAGACATGCCACCATCACACACACGCCCAAGTCTCTCTCTCTCTCTCTCTCACACACACACACACACACACACACACACACACACACACACACACACACACACACACACACACACACACACACACACTCCATCACAAACACCCTCACATCGCAGACACACACGTTACACCCCATCACTCACGTGTCTCTTGAAGGACTTCCGGATGTAGCCCTGGGCAGTCTTCTGGACAACAGCGTAGCGCCGGATGCAGTACACTTTCTCTTGGGGCTTAATCACGTTGGCGACCACTTCCACCAGCTTGTCGTGCGGGATGGCGTCGTAAGCCCCCGTCACGTCCACCTGGGAGAGCAGGCCCCGTTCACTCCCTCGTCCTTACTTGCACTGGCCTGGGGCCTGCTAAAAACCCTGTAGAGTCAGGTGCAGGAGCAGGGCTGGGGGCCCTACTCAGCTCTCCACTGCCAGAGCCACTGGGTCCTCGAGATCACCTTTGACCCCAGCCCTCATCCTGAGCATCCCTCACTCTGAGCCCAGGCCGCTGGGGCCTTGGGGCCCTACCTGGACCCAGCAGCACTCCGATGGTCTGATGCCCCAGCTGGCAGCCCCTCTGCAAGGCAGCTGAGGCCCAGGCCCCTCACCTTGACAAAGTGCAGAGGTGAGGCCGGGAGCCTGGCCCGCACATGCTGCACGAAGGCCCGCCAGGCCCTGTAGATGTCGTCCATGCCCAGCACGGAGGCCCCCAGCAGCCATGGCCGCAGTGCCCGCTCATAGTTGAGCACGCTGAACAGGTTCTTCATCTGCGAGGTGACAGGCCGGGCCTGGCGCTGGGAGGACAGGAAGCAGGGATGGACGCGGGTCATTGTGGGTTCCTGGGCCACTGTCCCCTGCTGTCCTTGGCCCCCCAGCTGTACTGCCGAGCTCCAGGTGACGCCAGGACCCACCCCAGCCTGCCTTGAGACCTCGGGCTCACCCCCACCCCCACTCATCCCCTCCAGGGCCCCAGGGGTCGATGGGAGCACCAGCTGGCCCCCCTCAGAGACCATGCCCAGTGGGTGGGTTCAAACTCAGGGTTCAGTCCAGAGGGCCAGACTCCACCCAGCGGCCCCTGCTGTCACAAACCACACTGCCTCCCTGGGGACAGGAAGCTACTACTGCTGCCTGCCAGGCAGTATGGCTGCAATCAAGGACCCTCGAGCAGGGGGACAGTCACCCGGGTCACTGTGGCCCATAGACATGTTGTCCATGCTATTCTTCCACAGGGTCACAGGGTGCTGAGGTCGCAGGGTGTGCTGCACCTCCACAAGAGACAGGGTCCCAGAGCACAAGGTCCCAGAGCACCAGGCCCCAGAGCACTGGGTCCCAGGGCAGAGGGTCCCAGAGCAGTGGATCCCAGAGCGCAGGGTCACAAAGCATGGGGTCCCAGGGCATGGCCGGCTGCTCACTGTGGCCCTCAGTGCATCTGGCATTCTCCGAGACACCCCGGGGGCCACACATCCTGCTACTGCCTCCCCTTGCCCAGGAACTGGCCCCCTCCAGGGTGAATGTGGGTTGATCCCTGCCTGCCCACCCTGTGGCCCTTTGTCTAGGCCACCCCAACGCTAAGTCCCACCAATTTGTGTCCACAGCTAGAATATAGCGTGGTCACCTTCTTTTCTCGGCGGAAGGTTCTGGCCCCCAGGACATAGTCCATGTTCACAATTGGTCGGAGGCCCTGGCGCTTGGGAACGAAGCGGAGTTTGGAGATGAGAAGAGAGGGCTTTGTCTCCTGGTGCCGCCGGACTTCTGCCTCTGACAGCTCCCGCAGCTGTACCCTGCTGAAATGCTGCCTGCAACACAGGCCCGCTCAGGCCGAGGGCTGGCAGCCCGAAGCACCTGCAGGGGAACTCACCCAGAGTAGCCGCCCAGCACACAGCCACGTCTTGCGGTTTCACAGAACTATCAGCTACTTCCACCTTAGAGGTTGGGTCCAGGCCCCATCTAACAGATGCTCGGACTTGACAGGTCAGAAAGCAGAGACTCAGGGTGGCTAGGGCTGGGGGCAGGACTCTGCCTGGGGTCTCCAGTACGGAGCAGGGGCCGGCCCCTGTAGAGCAATGAGATACACGGGCCTAGGGACACAGCTGTGGGAGCATAATGCAGTGGTCTCGTTCTACGCCCAAGCAGACACATGGTTAAGTCTGCCCCTCCACATCCTGAATGCTCTGGTGATAAATACCTGATCCCAATGTCTTGCAGCTGGCTCCAGACGCTTTTCCGGAAAAAGAAAAGCCTGTTCTTCTGAAACATGGTTTCAGTGACATAAAAGAAGGCCCTGAGTAGCCCGGCCACATACGTGTCCACCAGCCAGAGCAGGAATTTGGTCAGGATCTCCTCTCTCAAGCGGTGCTCCGAAGCCGGGACCGTGCGCTGCCCTAGAAAGAGATCACGCTGCACACCTGGTCCCCGCCACGGGACTGCGAGGTCCACCCAGGCTAAGAGGGTCAATTCTGAATCCATTTGCAGAAGGCCTCGGCCCACAGTGGGGGCCCTCCCTCCATTTTGAGACTCGACACAAGCTCAGGCTCCATTCAAGTCCCGTGTTACTGCCCCAGTGCTTGCTGACTGCTAAACCAGCAACAAGGCTAAGCTCAGACAAGTCTGGGGAGAGATATCTGGCCCTCAGGTTTATACTCAGAACATGGGTGTGTCCCTCATGATTGACTCAAAACAGCTGCGTGTTATCTCACTTACAGGCTGGGGGCCCAGTGACAATGACGCAAGGCCGCTTGGTCATGATTAGACCCTGGCCATCACAGCAGCCAGGAAAAATCCCCCAAATCTTTCTGTGAATCTGAAATCGTGAACAGTACCCCGATCGTGGTCCCTTTCCCTGCCTCTGCAGTCCAGCCTGCAACAGTGATAGACTGACCCACCAGTCATAATCACGCACAAAGACTGGCTCTGTGTTCTCTCCTCTACACTCTGCCCATGAGTGAATCGGCGGGCTCCATTAGGCATCTGTACTGCGCGCATGCTGAGGACTTCCCTTATCCGGGATGCTTGTCTTTGGTTTGTCTTGAACCTGATGAAAGTTTAATAAGAGCAATGCTACGGAAAGTTTGAATCTGGGCCTTCTTTTCTCCCAACACATCCACAAGATCCACACTGTCCAGTAACACAGCCTCAGGCCAATCAAGGTGTGTGGTCCCCCGGGAGACATGCCATACACATGACCCACACCCCCACTCTTGGACATTCAGCACAGAAAGTAGAAAAACACCAGTGTCCTCCTAGTAACACTGCCACTGTTTCCGTGTTAAAACGATGTTGTTGACTTAGTGGGTCTCAGTAACATACAGGACAACCTCCGAGAGCCAGAAGCTGTGTAAGGTAGAATCCCGTCAGAGAAGCAAAACTCAAATTAACTACCGCCCGAAAAAAGTGGTGCAGACAGCTCGTCGAAGGCAGGAGAACTTACCAGACCCTGAGAAATAAGGGGGTGGCCCGGAGCTCTGGCTCACAGCACACACACACACACACACACACACACACACACACACACACGGCTCCGTGGATTCCGCTGCTGCTTGTCACTCTCAGCGCGGCTACTGAAGATGGAAGACGAGGGCTGGGTCATGGTGGCTATTTCTATCGGGCAGGGGTGGCTTGAAGCAGCAGCATGTGTCCCACTTTCTAAACATCATGGCGGTGGCAGCAACTCAACGTGATGATTTAACAGTGCCCCCCAAGATGTGTGTGGAGGTTCTGAGGACCGGGCCTGTGAATGTGGGCTGTTTGGGGAGCTGATGTCAGTTACCCGGCACTGCAGCAGCGTGGGTTCTGGGCCCCTCTCTTTCACTTAGGAAAGAGAAGGGCAGGTGTATGGTCCCACCCAGGGGAGGCAGCACCCATCTGGAAGTCAAGGCACGACAAGATAAGCTAAAGACGACAGGAACTGGGCAGGATAAAGACCTTCTCCTTGTGAGGTCGAAGGGGGCTGATGGACGGATGGAGTGTGGCCCAGCTGACCCCCTGAATTCGAACCTCCAGCCTCCAGCACCAAGACACCCCAGTTCTGTTCTATGGGGCTCCCCACAACGGTCCAGCTAGGCCAGCACCGTTGCAGCTGCTTCGTATAAGGCCCAATACCAGCATCACCACGGGCCCGGGAAGAGCTGGGGCGTTCGAGGTCAGGCAGCCCAGAGTGGGCAGAGACTGCCGGGTGGTGGCAGCCCCACTTTGGCTCAGAGGCCCCAGACTACTACCCTCTACAACTGAAAACATTCGGAGATGGGTCCAGATGGCCATGAAAGCTCGGACGCCGGCCCCGTAAAGGAAAGGTGCAGAGGAGAAAATCGACCCCCAGAGGCGGGGTAGCGGGAAAGATGGAATGGTGAACAGGGCAGGCAGGAAAAGGAGGTGGGGGTACGGGGAGCACGGGGCAAAGTGAAACACACAAGGACCTTCAAGAAGAGCTGCTGTTAGGGCCACTGCATCGGCTCCGACCCACAGCCGCCCTGTGTGCAATGCTCTCCTAGGGAAGAGAGGTCACCACGAGGTCTCATCTGGGGGCTAAGAAACCCTAAACCAAACCCAATGGACAGGGTAGAACTGCCCCTGTGGGTTTCCGGACCGAGCTCTCTGTGGGAGCAGAAACCCTCCTCTTTCTCCCGAGGAGCGGCTGGTGGTTTCCAACTGCTGACCTTATGCTGACTCATATCCACTACACCATAGAAACTCCAGACGGCAAGACAAAGGCCAGACTGGAAATACAGCCCCGAGACTATTGCCTGAGACACTCTTTAAACCTTAAAGCTTAAGAGGGTAGCCTGAAGTCCTCCCCAGGCCAAACAGTGCACCATGTTAGGGAGCGCCACCCGGCTGCCTCAGGCTCCCGGCTCCTCTGAAGGACTAGGCTATGGGCATAGCTGACCACAGCAATGCAGAGGGCACTGAGTGTTGGGGGCAGGGAGCGTACCTCCATGGGGAAGAAACAGCTCTAAGGGAGGGGGAGAACAGTGCCCCAACTGGAAGCATGTCATCAACCTCGCCGAGCTGTACATCCAGAAATGACTGAAGCGGCGTCTATTTTGTTGAATATGGTTAACAAAATTAATTTTTAATAACACACAGTGTCTCGGGAAGGTGGCTGCAGCTGGTCACTCACATGGCCCTCGGAACCCTCGGAGACCCGGAGAGGTGGCCAGCCCCATTTCAGATAGATTTCCATGAGAACCTTTGCGGGTGGGACTGAGTGTCCCCCAAGCTCCCACTCAGGGAGCCAACATGTCTCCTGTGGGTGGCTCCTTGTAGGGAGGCCCCACCACCTGTCGGTCAGCAGGTAGTGTGCAGCACCTGTGGGTCTGAGTGTTGCTGGGACGCTAGTGTTCACGTACCATTGGGGTCACCATGGCGCACAAGTATCAGAAGCCTTTCCGGGCCAAGACAAACCAAGAGAGAGGCGTGGCTATCCACTTTGAAAAAAACAGCCAATGACCGCCCCATGGGTCAACGATGAGCAGTGAGGAGCACTGTCCAGCCCACTCACATTGGGCACATGGCCAAGAAACCGTGGGACAGGAACTGTCTACGAGAGGGAAATAGCGCAGCACTCCTCACCCAGGTGCACCTCCTACCTGTTCTGCCAGGATGCGCCTGACCTCTCCTCACGGAGGCAATTCTTCTCACCTGAGGGCACCTGTTCACCTAGATGCCCCCCTTCACCTCTCCTTACCTGAGTATACCTCCTCCCTTCTCCTCACCCGAGGGCACCTCTTGACCTGGGTGTACCTTCTCATCTGTCCTCCCAATTGCACCTCTTAACCTGGGCGTACTTCTTCACCTCTCGCCCGAGGACGCCTGTTCACCTGGGTCTACCTCTCTGTCGAGGACCAGCTGCCAGGATGGAAAAGTTGCCGGTGGTCTTGCCCGGAAGTCAGTGACTTGGGCGAGGTCCCAGGCTTTGTGTGACCCTTCACCACAGTCACTGTCTATATGACAAGCCAACACATCAGCGAATAGGAGCTACTGGCTTAGGTTCAACGTACCCACGGAATCCTAGGAACAAGGCACCAAGTTAAGGTTTTGCCGGCCAAGCTCCTCAAAGAGACTGCAGATCAGCTTTACAATAAAGTTGTTTAAGGCTGCTCGCTGATCAGACCTCACAATCCCATCCTGTCTGTTTGTCTTTCCGGCATCCCTACCCCCACTTTCAGGTTCTCTTGCTGGTGCTGTGCAGGTCACGCACTTCCGCACCCCTCCTTACGTGAGCAGGACTCCTCTTCACTCCTTACCTCGAGCACCTCACCTCTCCTCACCTCTTGACCTGAGTGCACCTTCTCACCTCTCACCTGAGGCACCCCCTCTTCCTGGACATACCTCTGAAGCCCTCCTTACATGAGTAAACCTCCTCCTCACCCTTCACCTTGTGCATCTCACCTGAGACACCTCTTGGCCTGGATACACCTTCTCATCTCTCTTCCCTTGAATGCACCTCTCTATCTAGGTGCCCCCCCTCCCCTCACCTGGGCAAACCTGCTCACCTGGGCTTGCCCGTAGCCACTGGCAGTCCTGCACTTTCATCCTCTGCATCAGCTCCTGCCGGGAGAGCTTGGCGTGCTTGCCCAGAGAGAGGTACATCTTCACGGTCCTCAGGAAGCGGCACTTGTTGTGGCTGGAGCCCCAGAGGCCGGCGGGCACCAGGCGGTGGAGGCAGGCGCGCACAAACATGTACACATGCCAGGGGCTACTGTGCTGGCGGAGCAGCTGCACCACGCGCTGGGGGCTGTCGTCCTCTAAGCTCCCAGCAGCGGTGGCGGTCCCGGAGCCCCGTTTCGGGCAGTGAGTCCTGAGCAGCGCACGGTAAGGACATTGTGCATGGTTCCCCAGCAACTCCTGGAACAGCGGCCGCATCCGCCAATAGCGCGCAGGCAGACGCTGCGGCCGAGTCCACCTCCACGCGTGCCCACCGCCTAGGAAGATGGTCTCCACGAGTCTTCGGGCCCCATTCAGACTGCCCTGCAGGGAGTTGAGGGGGAAAGCACTGGGCAGCTGCTCCTTGTCCCCGGAGCAGTAGAGGAAGCGCTTGGTTTCCAGGTACACCTGGGGACATGGTGAGGGGTCAGCTTCACGTGCCCTGGCCTTCTGCGTGGACAAACGACGAGTCCCAGAAGCTTCGCCTTCCAAGGAGGTGGCTTCCGGACCAGCTCTCCGACCAGGTGTCACCGCGACGGGCTTCGTGTCATTCTTAGTACCACGTAGGGGGACCCAGGACGCCTCCTTCTGGTGCAAGGCCTGCCTAGGCTCCAAATGGGGCCTTTGCTGGGGCCTCTTGGACCAGGGAAGCCTTGCACCCTCGCCATCTCGATGCCGCTTCGCAGCCCGCAGGGTCCCACCCCGCGCTCCGCAGCCCAGCCCCAGGCCGTTGGCATCCAGTGTGCAGAGCTCGTAGAGCGGTGGCCCGCACACCTGGTAGGCACAGCTCGGGGGCACCAGCAGGTAGAGCGAGCAGCGTGCCAGCAGGTAAGTCAGCACATCGTCGCCCAGGCGCTGAAGCAGTAGTCCCCAGGCGCCGCTGCTGCGCAGCGTGTCTGTGACCGTGTTGGGCATGTAGCTGCGCACGCTGGTCGTGAAGGCCATTGGCGGCTCCCCGCTGGCCTCGTCCAGCAGCGCGAAGCCGAACGTCAGCACGTTCTTCGCGCCCCGCTCGCAGAGCCGCTGCACCACCCTAGCCACCAGCTCCTTCTGACAGGACACCTGCGGGGAGAGGGAGCCCCCTGAGCTGCCTTTGTTTCCCCCGCGGGGCCCCGAGGCGCAGAGCCCTGCCCTCCCTGTCCTGGGTGGCCCACCTGGCAGAAGGAGGGGGCCGTGGGCGGTGGCGGCGCACCCCAGGGCAGGCACACCAGGCAGTGGGCCACCAGCTTACTGAAGGCCACTGGGTCTCCAGGTCGCACCAGGTGCCAGCCCTCGGCCCCCAGGCGCTGCGCGAACGTGGCCAGCGGCAGCACCTCGCGGTAGCAGCCGCGCAACAGGGCACGCACGGCTCGGCAGCGGGGCGCTCGCAGCATCGCTGGAAGGACCAGGCTGGGGCGCCGGGCGTCCCACGTGCTCCGGGCCTGGGCGGTGGCGCGGGGAGGAGGCGCAGGCTCCGCGAGCACCGCAGGCGAGGGGCGGCGTCTGCGAGGAGAAAAAGAGCGGGCTCTTTCAGGCGCGGAGGACAAGGGCCGGGGGCTGACCGCGAGGATGCAGACTCCCCAGCGCCCCGGACGGAGGGCGTGTCGCAGGGGGCGGGGCCTGAGAAGAGCCGTCTCCAGCGCGCAGGCAGCAGGGGGCGGGGCCCATGGTAAAGGGGCGGGGCCAGGGAGGGTGGACCGGTGTTTGCGAAGGAGGAAGCGGAGTCCGAGGGGGAAGGGGCGGGGACAGGAGTACAGGGCAGGGGTGAGGGTGGGGCACGGAGGTAGGAAGTCGAAGGCCGCGACGAGAGGAAGGGATCTTAGTGGAGGAAGAGGCGCCGCTCCAGAAATGGCAGTGGGAGGGCGGGGCATAAGGCGAGGGGGCGGGGACTTCCGGGGAGAGGGACTGGACATAGATCTAAGTCGGGCAGGCCTCCAGCGGGTGCCCGAGAGAGGCTCGTCTGGCGGCGGGTTGTTCGGGGAACCGCCAGCGCGCGCCTTGGCTGGGACACGCGGGTCCAGAGGCGGGCCTGGAGGCCGGCTGTTCCGGGGGAACGCTGAACCCAGGTCCTGGATGCGCAGGCCTCCAGCGCGCGCTGCGGGAGGGAATCGCGGGCCCGGGAGGAGGGCTGAGCTCAGGTCGGGGATGTTCAGGCCATGGGGCACTGGAACCAAGGAGGCAGGTTCTCACCTGCTTTCATTAGCCCTGCCCGCGGAGCGACTTGGCTGCTGCTGTTTGTGGCACGGTGCCCTCGCAGAGTGTTTGGGGTTGGTCAAGGCCGCCTGACCTCTCCAGGGACAGGCAGCACCCGGCTTCAAGTCCGCTGGGCCAGCTCGTCTGGGTCCCTGGGGGCTGGTGTGCTCTGTGCCCGCTGGGGGGTGGAGGACCCGTCATTTGACAGAGGGGATGAGGAGGTGGGCAGGCGATCCTGGGCTCGGATGGGACAAGGGGGGCAGCGTCCTCCAGCGCCGTGAATGATACAACATGAAGGTGGGCTACAGGCACCAAAGAGATCAACACTCAATGCGGGGATAGAAAGGCCCTAAGAGCCCAGAGCACCAGAGAGCCATGTGGCGCTTCCAGAATGTTCTCCCCTGGCCAAAGGGGGAGTGTAGGCCCAGTACCTCCAGGGCAGTAGCTGCCCTAAGGGCTCTATCTCCTTGAGCCCTAGCCCATAGCCACTCACTGCCATGCAGTCAACACTGACTCAGCGACCTTCTGTAAGTTTCTAAGACTGTAATTGTTTACAGGAATAGAAAGCCCAGTCTTTTTCCAGAGGAGCTGCTGGTGGTTTTGAACTGCTGACCATGTGGATCTCAGCCCACCGCGTAACCACTAGTGGATCTCAGCCCACCGAGTAACCACTATACCACTACACCACTTGGGGCTCCATGCCCATGGCCACTGGTGGCCCTATTTTCCCTTTTTAAGTTCTAGGGTTCTTTTCGGGAGCCCTGGTGTCTCACTGGTTAAGCATGCTGGGCTGCTAACAGAAAGGTTTTAGGTGGTACCCAGCTACCCCACGGAAGGGATGAACAGTTCTTTGTCTCTGGCTCCATGGCGGTGAGAGTTGGGAGGGGAGGGAGACTTCTTTCTGGTACTTACAGAGACCAAACAGACCAGGTTGGCTTCCTGTTAGGAACCTAGGGGGTTGGGTCCCATCAAAGGGCAGGAGAAAATGGAACCCCAGACAGGGCACTTGACCAGTCACAGGGCCCTGTACCCCTGAGCAACTCACACATGAGAACCACATGCTGCCCCCAGAGCTGGAGGTGCCACCAGCCAGGTCCAGGGACCTTGGGAAAGCCACACAGCTGTTGGAGAGTTGGACCCAGAAGCTTCCGACACCTAGCCACCATGCAACCTGATCCGGGAGAGAGTTCTGAACACGGCTCGCTATGAGAACGCCCCTCCAACGGAACAGGTCACAGGCATCTGGCCCTGGTGGGCTGCCCAGCCAAGAGACCAGCTGTTCGAACCCAGCAGCCTCTCCGCAGAAGAAAGATGAGACTATGTGCTATGAGAACATTTACAGCCTTAGAAACCCAAAGGGGCAGGTCTACCTGGGCCTGTGTTGTTGTTAGGTGTCATCGAGTCCGTTCCGACTCACAGCGACCCTGTGCACAACAGAATGAAACACTGCACAGCCCATGCCATGTCGCAGTCACCCTAACGCCCAAGCCCACTGCGGACACTGTCAGTACATCCGTTGAGGGCCTTCCTCTTTTCTGCTGCCCTTCCACTTCACCAAGCATGGTGTCCATCTCAGGGGACTGGTCTTTGTCCTATGAGTTGGAATTGACTCAATGGCAGTGAGTTGGGTTTGGGTTTGGGGTGCTATCAGGTGCTTCTGACTGTGATGTTGGCAGTTCAAGCCCACCAGGCACCCATAGGGGAAAAGAGGAGGCTTTGTGCTCTGTGGATTTAGAAACCAAAGGGACAGTTCCACTTTGTCCTACAAGGGTCACTTTGAGTCGGAGTCAGCTCAATGGCCATTTTGAGGGGTTGGCTGTCATGAGATCCTCTCCGAAATCCAGATTTCATGAGTGCTCAAGTTCAACTCACTGAGAAACAGGAAACTTCTAATCCTTGGGGGAAG